CAGGACACTCCAAGGTGACACAGGACACCCTAGGATGACTCAAGACACGCCCGGCTGTCTCAGGATTACCCAGGCTGAGTCTGGACACCCGAGGATGAAAAAGGACACCCCTGGCTGACTCAGGACACCCCAGGATGACACATGATTTCCCAGGATGACTCTGGAAACCCCAGGATGACACAGGACACCACAGCTGACAGAGGACAGCCAGGGATGACTCAGGACACCCCACAATGACACAGGACTCCCCAGGCTGACTCACTACAACCCCAGACAACTCAGGACATCCCAGGATGGCTTAGGACATGCCAAAATGACTCAGGACACCCCAGGCTGAATAAGGACATCTCAAGGAGATACGTGACACTCCTTGCTGTATCAGGACACCCCAGGATGTCTCAGTACAACCCAGGATGACACAGGACACCGCAGGATGACCCCTGACACTCCAGGCTGACTCAGAAAACCCCAGGCTTTCTCAGGACAATCCAGGCTGACTCAGGACACCCCAGGATGACACAGGACACCCAGGATAATTTATGACACCCCAGGATGTCCTGGCTGACTCAGGACACCCCAGGATGACACAGGACACCCAGGATAATTTATGACACCCCAGGCTGACTCAGGACACCCCAGGATGACTCAGGACACGCCAGGCTGTCTCCGGATTCCCCTGGCTGATTCTGGACACCCGAGGATGAAAGAGGACACCCCCAGCTGACTCAGGACACCCCAGGTTGACACAGGACACCACAGCTGACACAGGACACGCAGGGATAACTCAGGACACCCCACAATGACACAAGACTCCCAGGCTGACTCACTAAACCACCAGACAACTCAGGACATCCCAGGATGGCTTAGGACATGCCAAGATGACTCAGGACACCCCAGGCTGATTAACGACATCTCATGGAGATACGTGACACTCCTGGCTGGATCAGGACACCCCAGGATGTCTCAGGATAACCCAGGCTGACTCAGGACACACCAGAGTGACTCAATACACCCCAGTCAGACACAGGAATCCCCAGGCTGACACAGGAATCCACAGCTGACACAGGACACGCAGGGATGACTCAGGACACACTACGATGACACAAGACTCCCCAGGCTACTCACTACACCCCAGACATCTCAGGACATCCCAGGATGGCTTAGGACATGCCAAGATGACTCAGGACACCCCAGGCTGATTAACGACATCTCATGGAGATACGTGACACTCCTGACTGGATCAGGACACCCCAGGATGTCTCAGGACAACCCAGGATAACTTAGGACACCCCAGGATGACTCAGGACACTCCAGGATCTCTCAGGATTCCCAACACTGACTCTGGACCCCCGAGGATTACAAAGGACAACCCTGGCTGACTCAGGACATCCCAGGCTGAGCCAGGACACTCCAAGGTGACACAGGACACCCCAGGATGACAAAGGACATCCCAGGATGTATCAAACAACCCAGGCAGACACAGGACATCCCAGGCTGAGCCAGGACACTCCAAGGTGACACAGGACACCCCAGGATGACTCAGGACATGCCAGGCTGTCTCAGGATTCCCCAGGCTGACTCTGGACACCCGAGCATGAAAAAGGACACCCTTGGCTGACTCAGGACACCCCAGGATGACACAGGACACCACAGCTGACACAGGACACCCCTGGCTGACTCAGGACACCCCAGGCTGACTCACTACACTGACAGATGACTCAGAACACCACAGGATGGCTTAGGACATGCCAGGATGACTCAGGACACCCCAGCCTGTCGCAGGACAACCCAGGATGACACAGGACACCCCAGGCTGATTAAGGACATATCAGAGAGACACACGACACTCCTGGCTGACTCAGGACACCCCAGGATGTCTCAGGAAAACCCAGGATGACAAAGGTCCCCCCAGCATGGCTCAGGACATCCACGCTGACTCAGGAAACGCGAGGCTGACACAGGAAACCCCAGGTGACATAGGACAATCCAGGATGACACAGGACACCCCAGGCTGATTCAGACCCCCCAGACTGACACCTGACATCACAGACTGACACAGGACACACCAGGGTGACACAGGTCACTCCAGGATGACACAGGACACCCCAGGCTGACTCAGGACACCCAAGGATGACAAAGGACACCCCAGGCTGAACCAGGACACCCCAGGATGACTCAGGACATGCCAGGATGTCTCACGATTCCCAACGCTGACTCATGACATCTGAGGATAACAAAGGACACCCCTGGCTGACTCAGGACAACCCAGAGTGACTCAGGACACCCCAGTCTGACACAGGACACCCAAGGATGACTCCGGACATGCCAGGCTGTCTCAGGATTCCCCAGGCTGACTCAGGACACCCCAGGATGAAACATGATTTCCCAGGATGACTCAGGAAACCCCAGGCTGACACAGCACACCGCAGCTGACACAGGACACCCAAGAATGACACAGGACACCCCTGACTGACTCGGTACACCCCAGAATGATTCTGGATTCCCCAGGCTGACACAGGACACCCAGGGATGACTCAGGACACCCCATGCTGACACAGGACTCCCCAGGCTGACTCACTACACCACCAGATGACTCAGGACACCCCAGGCTGATTAAGGACATCTCAGGAAGACACACAACACTCCTGGCTGACTCAGGACACCCCTGGATTTCACAGGACACCCCGGGCTGACTCAGGACACCCCAGGTTGACACAGGACACCCCATGTTGAATTTGGACACTCCAGGGTGACACATGACATCCCAGGATGACTCAGGACACGCCAGGATCGCTCAGGATTCCCAACACTGACTCTGGACACTCGAGGAAAACAAATGACACCCCTGGCTGACTCAGGACACACCAGAGTGACTCAGTACACCCCAGTCAGACACAGGACACCCCAGGATGACAAAGGACATCCCAGGATGTATCAAACAACCCAGGCAGACACAGGACATCCCAGGCTGACACAGGACACCCTTTCGATGACTTGAACAACCCAGGAGGGCTCAGGACACCCCAGCATGACACAGGACATCCCAGGCTGAACCAGGACACTCCAAGGTGACACAGGACACCCCAGGATGACACAGGACTCCCCAGTCTGACTCTGGACAACCTAGGATGACACGGGAAATCCCAGGGTGACACACAACATGGCAGGCTGACTCAGGACACCTCACGCTGACAAATACACACCAGGATGACACAGGACATCCAAGGGTGACTCAGGACACCCAAGAGTGACTCAGGACACCCCAGGGTGACTCATGAAACCGAAGACTGGCACAGGACACCCCGTCCTCCCCATCCTCCCCATCCTCTCCGTCCTCCCTGTCTTCCTCGTCCTCCCCGTCCTCCCCCGTCCT